GGAGGGGGGGGGGGGACCAAGGCAATCCATGAAGGTCCTGTGCTCCCGGTTGTCCCCTGCAAATGGCTTTTGTGCCACATGGGGAGGGCAGGGATTCCCAGTTCCAAATCACCCACAGAAGCCTTCCTCCCTGCAGGAAAATTGCCCTAGAGGTGACCCATATAAAATGGGAGCAGGGCTTTGACCGCACGGCTGGGGCCGCTAGTTTGACTGTCTTTATCCCCTCCCTATGGACACCTTGGCCCTAGTGCGGGGGGACATGAATGGAGAAAGAAATAATGTTGAAGTGGAAGGGCTTGTCCAATGCAGAAATCTGGGGACTCCTTCACAGCAGCTCTGCGAAAGATGCTGCAGTTTTAGTGCTTGGCAAAAGGTTGCTTTGTTTGAGCTAATGGATGCTGTAAAATGCATCTTTTGACCATGTTGCTCAGCGTAATTGTTTTTCTTCTAAATGCGCTGCACAGCCTTAATTGTGGTACGTATACTATTTCTTGCTAATTTGTGTGGTGTGATTTTTTTAAAGAAGGATCCTGTTGCTGTGCCAATAACCTTACAGTGTGATCTGTGGTTGCTAACAGGAACTCTGTAAGACTCTGTAAAAACAATTAAGATTGCTAACAATACAAGAAGTATAATTGATAGCAAAATAAACACACAAACAGCAATCTCTAACGTTCACAGAGAAAAGGATTAGAACTGGATATGTTATGGGAGCATTAAGGTGCTGGTGCTCTGTGGATTATTTTCACATAGCAGTGACATTAGAAAATCAGGTTTGCATAGGAAAATGTGTGTCCATTGTGTGTGTGTGTGTGCACATGTGTGTGTTTGCTTCCAACAGTTAATTTGTTGACTGTCGGGGAGAAAACCCATACCACTGTTATCTCAAGTAATCTTGATGTTTTTCATATTCCCAGAGTGCTATGAAATTATGTCAGTGGGAATCCAGAGGAGTAGCAATTGGATCCTGTAACCCTAACCCGGGATTTAGCTTAGTAAACATAGGACAAATGAAGCTACTGATTTCAATGTAAAACTTATTGGAAAGATTACATCCTGGCTGATTTACACAAGAGAAGTGGAAAAAGTATCTATTAGCAGTATTTAAAATAATACTGAAGATTTTCTCGCCTGCCTGCCTGCCTGCCTGCCTTCCTTCCTTCCTTCCTTCCTTCCTTCCTTCCTTCCTTCCTTCCTTCCTTCCTTCCTTCC